AAATCCAAAGGAATTGCCTGATTGGTTGATTTTAAAATTAGTCGAAGTTTATATATAGCCTCCCTGTAAAAAAACAAACAAATCCACTGTCCACGCCAGTAAGAGGTGGGCGGAAACCAATCTCAGACCAACAAGGCGTACAATAGGAGGCCTGTGCAGCATTCATGTCAAGTGGGTTGCACGGTGGAGGTGGAAAGATTCTTATGCCAATGAGTTGCAAGCTTTCATGACAGCTGTATGAGTGGATCGTGTTTTTTTTTTTTAAACTATGTATAAAATTGCATTGACAGTGTACAATTCTGTGCATTAAATACGGGTGGATGGCAGATTTTGGCTGCTTTGAGGAGTCCGTGTTCGTTTTTACAGGCACTTTTACTTTTGTCACGGTCCATGTGTCTGCCCAGTCAACCCAGTAAGGCCACATGTGTTTTTTGTTTTTGTTTTTGCTCTCTCTCTCTCTCTCTCTCCTGTGTTCACTCTGCCTGGGCGGAGCTCATTGCGGGCTCCCGCCCTTTGGCCCACGCACCTGGGAGCAATCACACACCTGCGGCCCATCATCCTGCTTTCCTGACTGCTAGTTAAGATGGCGGCTCAGTGTTTCTCGTCGCTGGACCGTTTTGCGACACATGTTGGTGTAGCCCCGGCTGACTAATATCTCGTGTCTTCATAGTGACTCCCTTGCGGTGGTTTTCTCTCGTCTTGTGTATGTAGATTCCTGGACTCGTCCCTTGAACCTCTTTGGATTTCAGAGCGCGAGTGTTTGGATGAGCGCAGTGGCGCGTGTTGGAGCGTGTTGAAGATTGGAGCGAGTGGGCGCACGAGCGAACGGAGTGTGGACCTACGAGCGTGTGTAGAGTGTTTTCCCTTCCTGCCCCGTGAACCCCTGGAGCCACGTTCATTCCCCTCGTATTTTATGTATAGCTCACCGGCTGTTGTTTGCTTCAGCTTCAGTCAGGGTTCCGTCAACGCTGACAACTTAAAGTATCGACGAACATAGTTTATAGCAGCATGTGATTTTTGTAATAGCAATTTAGATATCGGCTTGAACCGCAATGATAAGTCGATCATCAGAAAAATAACATATTTTTTTTCCAAAAAAATATCTAAATAATTATTTCAGGTTTTATCTTTCTGATGCTTTCCTTTGTTTTAACCCTGTGAAAATGTTGTGTTTTCGGAAGACCTACAGGCTCATGTTCAGCACATGTTAATATTTGTTTGGAAAACAGTTGTGCTGATGTTGCAAAGTCTTGGCACATCAGATCTCTTGACAGTTTGCAGAGGCCTGATATTAGATGATCTGTTAATGTTTCATGGCCAATAGTTTCTAGGAAAGCAGGGAGTTCCAGCCAGACACAACTGGCTCAGAATAATGTTCGCCTGCTCGAAAGAATTGAAAGTGACATCTGTGTTCATTTAGATCTTCTCAACATCTAATGAACATTTTATACTTTCTTCAAAGTCTTCTTTCTCAATTTAGGAAGTATTTCCCTGACACATAACAAGAAAATGTGCAGTGACTTTTTAGCACAGATTTGGATTTTTGCCATCACATTTCATATCTTTAAGTTTCTTATTTTAGGGGTTTTAACTTGCTGCATTAACTGAAAAAATAAATAAATTCCCGTCTGTCATATTTGATCTATTAACAGCTTTTCAAACCTTGTCAAATCTATCTGAAATTATATTGCATTATGTATCGATACAGCTGTACAGCAAACACACACACACTCACATATGTGAGTAACATACGTATATGTGTTCATAATTTAAAGTGTGTTTAAGTATGCAAGTGATCCTTTAAACTTAAGAAAATGTGGCATTGCTCCCAGTTGTATGTCAGCATAACCTGCTCCGATAATGTGAGCTGCTGGAAAATGTCATCAGAACAAACTCGCAGAGTAAAATACAGGATTGCGGTTTGGATTTTAAAATGTCACATGGCTTGGAAAAGGCCTTTACGCCACTAGATCATCAACTGAAGTACGAGAGAACAGAGCAGTCTGGACAGAAGGGAGGGAAAAAGGGTTTATTAATAAAATATTTTAGCGAAATAGCAATATTAGGTACAGTGATATGGCAAAAATTTGTCTCCTCGCAGAGATTTTGTCAGACCGTGTACATTAAAATCACTTGACTAAGCAAAAGCATACGCACATATCTGCATGTCAGCTTTACAGATTATGTACGATTTCTTTTTCGTGTTTAAACATAACCCCTGGAAAAAATTAGCATAGTTAAATACGTCTCATTATTTGTTCCACAGTCTGACTTGGAACTGTAACAGAATATTAATTAGCTGCTCTTTTGACATTGGTAAATTTAAATGATTTTTACACGCCAAAGTGTCTGCCCCTTATCTTTGTCATATAAAAATCCAAGCAGATGTCTGTTCTCATATCATGATATTGATATTACACTGATATATCCGCCCACAGCTCTGCACGGGCTTGCATAAAATGCTCACAGCACAAACGGGGAGACTGACTCAGTGTGTCTGACTGATTCAAGGAGACGTGAGAGGAACCTGTTCGAGGTGGTCCGAACAGAAAGAGACAAATATGGTGCATTTTACAAGTCAAATGACAGAAAACCCATCCAACTTGTGTGTGCGCATGTATGTGTGTGTCTGAGTGGTTTAAGCAAATCACTGTGTCCTTTCTTTTTACTCCACAGTAGTTGATGTAAATGATGCCTACATGGAAACAAACCTCATTACCTTTGTTTTCTCTTTCTCATCCAACACACAGTGCGGACGCACACACACACACACACACACACAAACAGAAAGGAGTCACCGCTCTAAAATCTGGGTTCACAGATAGTTCTCTATATTAATGAGCTCTTTTTCAATGTTTTTGTATCTATAATTAATAGGACACAAACGATGTCTTTGCACACCCTTGGCTACAAATGAATCAGGGATTGAGTCTGACAGTAGAGCAGGAGTCCTGTCACCCACTGAGCTCTTCCTCCATCTATTCCCTTAGCCTTTCTCCCCTTTCATTCACCTCCTTTGTCCTCTGCATCTCTCTATCGCTCCGTCTCTCTTTCTCACAGTCACTCCAGTCTCTCCGCCTGGCCTCCTCCACTGACCCAGTCCTCTCTTTCCCTCTCTGAAATATTGATAGTGGACTCTCACTCACTCGCTCTGCTACCTCTCTTCATCTCTTTCTCTTTTCTCCTCATGTTCCCATCTGTGGTGAATCAGCAAACCAAACCCGCATTAAAACCCCTTTTGTGTGTATGTGTGTGTGTGCGTGTGTTTTACATCACTGCTCACTGCAGCACACATGACGCTGCAACCAAAGGTGTGTGTTAATGAACACAAATCACACCACCCATGACAGACCCCTCTGGCGTTCCAGTCTGGGACACCCTATCACAACACTTTTTCCCCTCTCTGATCTCCAAAGACGGGTAATCACGTGCCTATGAATATTTCACAACACTCATGGCTACTACTGACCAAGCTTTAATGGCAGCCAGCGTTAAAAACCCCAGCACAGCAGCGCATGGGATCCATGTCCACTCAGTGATCAAATGGCCCTTGGCAGCAGCAGAAGCAGAAGCAATGCCAATGAAAGAAGCGGGGCACCTGTGCTGTCCTCTGGGGCATTGATCATATATGTGCGATTGTGCGTGTGAACGAAAGAGAGAGAGAGAGAGAGAGGAGGGGCGGAGTGCATCCTCATAGCCTATATCCATATCTTACCGTCAATCCTCCGGTTTCCCTCGTCCTCCTCCTCCTCCTCGCTCACTGCGTCTCCCGCATCCCGTCTCTCCGCGCCCTCACCCACAGTACTCTCCTCCCTTTCTCCCGCTCCGCTGCGCCCGATGCATTAAAAAAAATTTTATACTCAATGGGGAATTAGTGGAGGGCGAGACCTGCTGGGCTATACGACAGTCATTAGCGTGATTTGTCCAGCAACAACTGGGCGTCCTCCGCCTGTGATCGGTGCGAGAGGCAGGGTTTTGCTCTGCTGGACCTCACACCCTCCCTCCGTCCTGTAGAGGCTCGATGTCTTCCCGCTGTGCTGTGTGACTGTGCGTCACGTTGGTATCATAATTCCCACGGGTTTCATGCCCAGAAATGATGCGGGCTATAGGCCTTATAGCCCCGATGGATGAAGGGAGGGAAATAAACGGGAACACACGAAAACAATAATTAGGCGCAAATTAACGCACAAACCTCGACCGCTCTGAGCCCCTCCGTCGATTTCTACGGCTCGCCGAGCTCAGCTGTCGTTTGTCATTGTTGATCGTACGCCTCCGATGCCGTTCATTAGGTACATCCTTGCATTTAATGGAAAATAACGTCGACGTGATAACAGCCGCTTTGCATATCCTTGAAGAATCGTGATGGGGTGCAGCGGCACATCAGGACGGATATGGAGAAATGTCAGGCTTTAAAAAAATAGGGGGGGGGGGGAAGCAAGAATCGCGTTATAAAATAATACTGGGGTTAAAGGGGGGAAGGAAAAGACAACAGCTGGACGGTCAGGAAAGATACAGTTTCCCGTTCCTGGCCTCGCCTTGCATCCGTCCGTCTCTCTTCTTCTCTCTCTCCATCCGCTGGTCCGCTTGTTGCGCGTTCTGCAATCGAGAGCGCGCAACGCGTCTGCGCTTCTGCGTGTGTGCACGTTTGTTTATGCGTGCGCGTGTGTACTTGTGCAGAGAGAGTGGCGGGGTTGGGGGGGCTTCGGCTATATTGTCAAGGTTTGTCTGAGTGAGCAAAGCTGCTGTGTAGGCAAAAGCAACGGAATATGAAACACACAGCGGCTTGTGTTTATTCAGGCATCTGTCTCCTTTTACAGGTCCGACCAGCTCCGATGTAAGTTTAGCATTTACAGTTCTGTGACCACATCATGGTGAAAGGGGAGATGAGCTGTTTGTTAGCTACCCTGTGCTGCACAGTGCACAGACATTTGTGCAGCACTGCTAGAAAATATGACCTATTTGTCAATCTGGCTGTAATGTTAGAGCTTTGTTATAAATCATCATTTCTCTGCCTTTTCTAAAGCACATCAATCCATAGCAATCAAACCTGATGACACCTGATGATACTCTGGCTTCCTTCTCTGTCTCTGAGATGCATTTCAACCCCAGTGCTGCAGCTGTGATTACTGTGATTACTGTCATTCTGCCTTAGCTTTTTGTACTTGTATTTTAGAAGTACTGGCAGCATGTAGTTAAGGCATGGGTCACTTAGAGGATATAGAGGAAGGAAGAAAATGTCACAAAGAGAAGGAACTGTTGCAAAGGAAGATCTTGCCTGATCAATCGAAAGCTTCATCAGATTAGCCTGCATGCACAAGGAAGTGTGCAAAGCCTGGATGTGGTCTTCATTATGTGAGAAGATGATTTACAGTCAAAGTAGCTCAATGATAGTGTAGTAAAGCCAGTTTCTCCATGATTTCACTTGACTCCTGTTGAATAGCTCTGATTGCTGCTTGTGTAGTCTGTAAAGTGCAGCTAGACTTCACAAACACTCAAAGCAAAACAGTCACTAACAAAATTATTTTAATGGCGCTGAATAATTCATTGATTTCAGATTATGCATGGTGTGTTTTGATTGGACGCACAAATTATCATTTTAAAAAAAGTGCATTACAGAGCCGTGTTGTTGAGAATGGAGAAATGGTTATAATCATCTCCAGTGTGTAATAAAACAAGCCGTAATGGCAAGACTTGGCTCAGACCAAACCTTGTCTCGACTGTATACTTGGCAGCATTCAGAGACATCAAATACAGCCAAATCAAAGCAGCTGTGAGTGTTCCTGCAGATAGTGTTATATTTCTTTTTGTTGTTTGCTGCCCACATACTGTACACTGGAGCTGTTGTAGGACCACGATCTTTGTACCACTGAAGCAAAGCCAGTCACAATAAGGTCAGCTTCACATTTCTACTGAAATATCTGCGATATTTTTTGCTGTGAAGGACAGCAGCAAGTTTTAGGCAAATCAGCAGTGTTTTTCTCCCGTTCTTGCTCTCCATCACCATGGTGATCCCCCTCCTTCCTTGTCGCCCGCTCCTCCATCCGCCTCCACACCTTCATCTCCACCTCCACCCCACCCCTTTCGCTTTTTCTTCTTCTTTTTCTTCTTTTCATCTTCCACCTTATACTTCAGTCTTCTCACAGGGTCGCTGAAGCTGCGCATGGACTTCTCCTCAAAGTCCTCTTTGTTCATGAAGTTCCTGTCAATGAGCTCTGCTGCCTCCTGCCAGTTGTGGTAGCAGTCTGTTCCAAGGCGGAGTATCTCATCCACGGCGTTAGGGATGAGGATGGAGCAGTTGGGACGCAGCACCAACACTGTGGGCACCTCCTCCACGTTAAACATAGCCTCCAGCTCCCTGCGGAAACACACACACACACTAGCATAGAGCTAATGGATTTACATTACCATCACCCACTAGCAGGTTATATACACTTCTAACTGGCTAATCTCACACACCTCCTGTAGGGGTCCTCATAGGCCAGGAACAGGCACCTTTTGGGGAGCTCTTTGAGGAAACCTTCTTGCTCTTCCTCTGACTGGTCCAAACTAGAGAGTGAAAGGGATATACTCCAGTAAAAATTACTCCCAATGTCATTTTTCTTGCGGTTCTTATTTCTTAAAGGAAATTCATACATGCATTACGCAAGTGCACATACGTGCATGCAGTTTAATTTTTACATTCGAGCTAGAGACAAGGTTAGTTTAATAAAGTAACAGAGGAGAAAATCTTTTCCAGTGTTAGACGCTACAGTTCTAATAAACACCTATATGTGTGCCTCTGTGTGTTTTACCTAATGTACAGGAGAACCAGCTGAGCAGCACGATCCACGTAGAACTCATCTGTCAACTGTTTGTAGAAGTCAGAGAGCGTGGGCGCAAACTGCCTGCAGGTCTCACACGTAGCAGAAGCAAAGAAGAGCATCAGGATTCGGTTCTGCAGGCGCATGATGATCTCACGCTCTGTGTCCAGCTCATCTTGGTCCTTGTTGTTCTTTAACAGGACCCGGTCAATGAATAAGTCCACCATGATGAAGGGGTGCTACAAAGGGAAAAGCAAAGCTACTAATACGCTTTGGATTAATCAAGAAAGAGTAGGCACACCGCTAATCATGATAGCTCAAACCATGTAGCATAACACACATTAGAATATTAAAGGCTTCACAATAGCAGTAAAAAGTCTTGACATTTGGAAATATTTATCTGGGCGATTTTAATGGCTTTGCCTTGTGTTTCACTGTATGTTTCTACTCTCCCAAATCGATTACAGTAATCATATATAATCTCGCTTGCTGTTAAATCGGATAATCCTCACAGTTGCTTACCTCTAACAAATATTATCTCTCCTTGAGGCAGCAAATCCAAAAAGAAAATAGCCTTCAAAATCTAGCCTTATATTTCTTTTCACCTCTTCCTTTATCACACTAGAATCACTTCCCAGTCTGCCAGTTCGTATCGCATTCCCTCATTCGCCTTCACCTTGGTGGCAGTAGCTGCTCACTACCTCTTCTTTTGTGTCCCTGCTCTCCACCTCCCCTCATATGTCTGGGAGGGAGGGATTGAAAGACAAGGTGACAGAGGGACAAGGAACATGAAGTGCTCGCACTGATGGTGTGTGTATGTGAAAGCAGTGACTGAACAATCAAGTCTGTCTGAATAAAGAGCGAAGAAATTACAGAATGAGAGACATGCTTAAAAGAAGAAAAAGAACCTTAATGAAGTGAGCCACTGTGAGACCTTTAATATTCAGTAATTAATGGAATAGCAGAGCCGCAGGGAATATGTGCGTAGTGATAGTTTGATTTGCTCTACTGGGAACACTACAATATGGCCATGAAAGCACAGCAGTGATACAGACACTGTTTATATTAAAAGAATAGAGAATTTAATGATTTTGGAGAGCATACAATTCACATTTAACTATGCAATAACAAAGTGCAAACTCTGAGGAGACGTAGTTAATAAAGAATAGTAAAGACAAATAACAGTGTTATGAAAGTAAATAACACACTGACAAGACATTAATTTCAGTTACAAAACAAGCAGGCGCCAGCACCTAAATGTAGCCAAAAAATGCAATTACATGTATATTTTTAGGGTTTTTTTGCCCAAATATTAGTCAAAAAAACAGTGTGGTTGAAAATAGTTGCCTGTTTACATATCCAGCAGATATCAGTCTCTGTATCTGATTAATTTAAGCCTGTTACCTGTTTTTAGCATTCACTTTTGTCTCCCCTCCCCAGTGAGAAAATATTATATCTTGACTGTTAGCTGCAGAAAGCTGGACTTTTTTCACCAGCTAATTTTTCGTCTTGTTTCTTTATCGTGCTGAGCAGCACACGTACATTCCACTGATTATTAGCTCAGAAAACAGCTGCCTGATGCTGCTGGAAATGGAGCTGATATGTCTTGAATTACTTTGCCAGAAGAATTATATTGTCAGTAGAAAGGGTAAAGAAGAGGGAAGAAAGTCTGTAGAGTTGCACAGCTGGAATAGCCAGTATACACGTGAGTCCTCTCTTGCTATACACAGTAATTTGATCCTAAGTCAATAAGAAGGTATTGATTTGTAGAGCTTTAGATTGGAATCCTGGGGATCGATACTCACACATTTAGTCAGGATTGGTTTGTACATGTTTGTATTTTCTGAATAAAAACAGTGGCATCTCTTGTGGTAGTGAATATCACCAACTGAATAGTAGCAACAAAATATAAAGAAAATAAAAAACACCATCAGCATATACAGTAGGTATCCACAACAACAGATGAGCAGTAATAGTAGATGTTAGTTTCAAACAGTCTGCTTTATAGCCTACATCTGCTCTCTGCTTGTTTTGGGGGTTTTTAAGAAAAGGAAATTTGTTTTCATCTTATGCAACATTAAAGTGAGTCTCAAAATGGTTAATAAAAAGAAGCGCAACAGATTATTCTTGTTCTAGGAAATGAAGGCTATTCCACTCAGGAAATTAACAAAAAAACAAAACAAAACTGTATTGTTCCCTACAATGGCGTGCACCAACCTAACCCTACAAAGAAGATCCCAAGCTGGTTCTAACTTGATTAGAAAGAGAAGCTGGAAGCCAGAGTGCAAAACTGCAAGACAACAACTGCATCAGAGTCTTTGGCTTGAGAAAAAACACCTCACAGAGCCAGATTGTGCTGGTTTGTAAAACGATTAGTGCACACAGTATGAAAATCTATCTATCTATCTATCTATCTATCTATCTATCTATCTATCTATCTATCTATCTATCTATCTATCTATCTATCTATCTATCTATCTATCTATATATATATGGCACACCAAGAAAAACTGGTAAAATAAACTTAAACTCAAAAACAAAGACTGATGGTTGTTGAAAAAACAGTTCCCGGTTATTATTCATCCATCCATCCATCTTCTCACTGGTATCCAAATTCAGGGTCATGAGGGGGCTGTAGCCAGTCCCAGCTATAACAGGGTACACCCTGGACAGGTCAGCAATTTATTGCACAGCTAACGCATAGAGACAGGCAACCATCCACACTCACAGGGAATTTAGATTCACAAATTAACCTAAACCCACTCATGTCTTTGGAGTGTGGGAGAAAGCCAGACCACCCAAACACAGAGAGAGCATGCAAGCTCTACATAAATTCATAATCATAAATTCCTGATTATGAATTAAAGCAGTTAATCTTGATAACATTTCTGATAAATTTTCTGGAACAGCAGATAAAAATTTCTTTCTAAAACAAAAATATTTCTCCTAAATGTCTGAGCGATAACATACAGAATATATTATACGATATATGTTTTCCTCATCTTATCCTCCAGGTATTGTTATCTCCCTCATTTCTCTTGGTATCCCATGCTCCATCTTTCTCCTCTTCATTTCCATCTTTTCCCTTCCCCCATAACTTCCACCATCTCTTTTTGCGTTTGTCGTCCTCTGTCTTGTACTTGAGCCTCCTCACAGGGTCAGTGGCACTGCGCAAGTTAAGGTTGTCAAACTCCTCGTTGAGCATGAAGCTCCTTTCAACAAGCTCGGCCGATTCCTGCCAGTTTTGGAAACAGTCACAGCCGAAACGACAGATGTCCCGCACAGCGTTTGGAGAGAGGACAGAGCCGTCGGGACGCAGGACCACTATTGTTGGTACATCCTTCACTTTAAACATGGTCTGCAGTTCCCTGAAAAACGGAAATAGACTGGCATGAAAATATACTCTAATTTTGTACAAAGAGTGATGTGGTCCTCCAGACTTGGTGCACTGACAAACAGCTTAAATATATGCACATATATTTAAACACTCACTTCCTGTACGGGTCCTCAAAGGCCAGAAACAGAACCTTTTTGTGCAGCTCTTTGAGGAAATTTTCCTGTTTCTCCTCTGATTGGTCCAAACTAGAGAGAGAGAAATCTGGAAATCTCAAAACTGATCAAATAGATATATTTATGTAACTGCATATGTATAAGACGGATATATAGATTAAAAAAAGATGTGGGAACCTGATGTAGATGAGTGCGAGCAGTTTCGGGTATTCGATGTATGCTGGATCTTTCAGTCTCTTAAAGAAGTCGTTCAGAACAGGCACAAACTCCAGGCACTTTTCACATTCAGCAGATGCAAAGAACAGCATGACGATGCGATTTTCGAGAATCCCCGTGATCTCACGCTCAGTGTTGAGTTCGTCTTGGTCCCAGTTGTTCTCGATGAGAACTCGGTTTAGGAAAAGGTCAACCATGATGAAAGACAGGAATGTAAAAGGATAAAGGCCCTCTGCGGAAACAAGGAGGGTTAGATGAAGTTTTATGTACATACGTTCAACAATATACATGTGTGGTGCCTTGTACAGCACAGTCCTGAAATAATGACTTTTTTTTTTCTGTCTGTTGCATCCATAAATGTTTCATTTTGCAAACTGTGATTGAGGCTGACATTAGTGTAAAACCCTGAGACCCTGTGTAGTCACAGGGCATTGAATTTCAGGTTTTCAGTACTTCACTCTGCTCAATAAAGTGTTTTATACTTTGTAGACGTCACTGTTTTGTGCAGTAAAATGAACCCATTGTCCACACTTGAGGACACACTTTTCATAGGTAATGTTTTGTTTTTAGACCTGTCAGGTCCGACTGATCCCAAATAGCTACGAGAAATAGAAAATCCATCCAAAACAAGAGCTGAGGTCTCAGGATGTTAAATCTGAAATATTTTAGTGTCTTGTGAATTTCAACAAATATGCACGACAAAATAAGCAAGAATCAAGTTTGGAGTGTCTGTGACATTTTGGGTGCACTTACAGGTGAATCCGGAGCATTGCTACTGCCCACGCAAAACAAAAAACAGTCAAAACAAGTTTGACAGATTATTTGTGCTCATGTTGGATTCCATCAGCATCAAAGAATAATTAGGAACATCTGCTTCAGGGCCTTTAAAGCTTAAAAAATGCTAGAACCATTTTTCAAAATGTCACTGCTTTGGTGTTTTAGAGGTACAATCTGTAGACAGTGCTTACATCTATCCTGAACAAATTACTTTTGTTTACACAAAAAGTTTTTTGATTTTTTTTTTTTCGAGGGGGGGAATTTCAAACAAAGCATGAGCTGAGTCACTATTGCATCCTACTGTGACTGAACAGCAAATGGTAATTTACATGAAAATAATGAATGATTACCCCACACTGGTGTATAAAAAATTGATCCAGAGGGACCGATACCACATTTTGTTCTTAATCGTGACGATTTAGCGGAAGGGAAGCAGCAGTTCCAATTATTTTGTCAAAAATTATTTCAGTTTGGCCAGTTATTAGGATGCCACCATTACAAACCAGCAGGCCAGGTCCCTAAATTGGGAGTAATTGTTTGATAAATGCTGGTTCCTTTTAAAGGAGCAAATTTTACGATTTATAAAAAAATTTTTAAAAAGGAAACTTCCTGTTGTCCCATTGAAACACGGTAATTTGACAAACTGACAATACAACAGCCCAGCTAGAACGAGTTAGTCAGTATGAATAAAGCTTTTATGAAATGGTGTTTTCCAAGAGCCAACTTATGGTTCAGAACAAACAAAAAAAAGACCCATAAGAGATAAATTTCAGATATAGAAATACAGTTCAGGCCAAAAAGCTAAGAAATATGCTTTATCTGTCTTGCCCAGCCTGTATTTCTGTTGCAGAAGTTGCTGCTGGCTGTGAATTGACAGCGATAACCTCACAAATTAGATTTGGCTCTGTGGCTTTGAGCTGTGCCAGATCTATTTGAGACTACCATTCTGCACTGAAACGTCCGAGGCTAATGTAGGAGAAATACATCTGAAATTGAGCAGCACTGGATCTTACCTGGAAAAAAAAGAGGATTTACTGTAAGGCTTAGAAAGGTCAAAACTTAAATCTTACATTTGGAAAAGTTATTTCACAATAATCTGCTTCACTTTTCGAAGCTGATCAATAGCTCCTGATATACACTAGCAAGACTGCCGTGTCTTGTTAGAAGCTAATTTAATAGGCCATCAATCTTTGTACGTGCAGTGGCAGCTAAATATACACAAGTAATTTACCTCACCTTGAAACTCCTCGGCTCTCACAAAAAAAAAAAAAACATAGAGGGAATCCAGATTTTCTCCTGTCTTTCAAGACATTATATTATTTCATATGCCTTTTCCCCCCTCTTCCTTTAAATCCTGTGAAGCTTGTTATTTTAGTGGCACCTTTCACTGTGTCTTCACCCCTTTCTCTGTAATTTGTTCACCCTGCACTCTGTGGTCCTCGAAGGGAGATTACAGATAGCTGGAGGTGTGGCAGTGCTGTAATTGAGGGGCAGAGGATGTGTGTGTATGTGAGTGTGCCCTAAAACACCAGCTAAACACTAGAAATCTTATTACTTAAAGACAAGAAGGGAGCGAGTAAAGGAGGGATGGAAAAAGAAGACAAATTGGATTGCAAAGGTAGGATGGGCTTGTTTCAATCCTCCCTTTGCAGCTTAATTTGCTGGCTCGAGTCTGATATCACCCATTAAGCCATCAAAGCATAATACTGATTCTTTTGTATCCTGTTTTTAAGGCTGATTTAACAGGCAGGGTGCAGAATTAACTGAGAGAGTGAATAGTTTTGAGCCTGGTTCCGGTGAACTCCAAGCTGTGCTGTAGGAAAGTGCTTAGCGAGCTGCAGAGGCACTTGCAGAAAGTACCCGGGTTAATCTCAGGGAGAGGGTTGAGGTAAATATAGAGAGAGAGGGAGAGAGCCCTAATAGGATTAGTCTGAGTCACACAGACATGCGTCACTGCACATGAATGCACAAAAACACGCACACATGCATACGCTCCTTTGAATAATACATGCTTTGGATATGTGACCAAATGCACACAACACATGGTGAAGCTTTTTTTTTTTTTTTAGGTGAGCCTAGAAGCATGGCTGTACTGTACAGGTGTCGATGTAAGTCAGTTATGCTTCTCTTATCATGAACTGTAATGTTTGAGTGCAAGAGATCTCAGACCGATCTCAGACATGTGGTGAAAGCATCATCTAAGAAATTAGTATACCTGAGGTTATCCATGAAGTGGGTCTGGCAGTTGGTGGAAATGGCCCTCTGGCAGTGTGTTTGAGTGTGATTGCAAGTGATATCAAAGTGGATGTACACTGTTACAGTGGTGGATGCTGATTTTTAGCCAAACATTCAAGTAAAGAGGTGAGGATATGTTGAGGTAATCTATGTGAGTCAAAAGCTCAGACTTCAGAATGCTCCAAGCACTCATATTACAACAAATCGTTCCTAAAATTGGCTCCATTTGATGTAAACAAGGGGGTATAACCCTAATATGGTCACAGCAGCTACAGCTCCCACCACCTGTTCAAGTCTTTTGATTGTGAGGGGGCCAATCAAACAAATATTTGCTTAAAAGAAATAATGGATGAACTGATGTGCTACACCAAAGCCTACTGTAACATAAACATGGATTATTGTGAACTGTTAATCATGCAAAGCTACTCTCGCAGAGGTCAAGACTAAAAATGTCTCCCATGAGTATAATTTCTTTAACTAATTAAATGTTTTTGTTCTAATCCAACAACAAACTCTTGATCTCAGATGCAAATATCATGAAACTGTAGGGCAGTCGGTGTAGAACGAGCACGCTTCACTGGTCAGCAATGAGTAAGCCATAATGAGTATAAACACAATGAATGGGGAGAGGTAATGGTGGCTTGCTGTAACCAGAGCTTAGCATTATGTAGTTACAGGGCAGGCAAACACCAGTGGGCACTAATTAAATAACATTCATGTCTGTGCTTAAATAAAACTGTAGTGTGCCAATAAAGGAGGCAAAACAGATACTTTGATATTTTAGCCACTGCAGCTTTAACCACAGCCGGCAGCGTGTCAGTGCTTCCATGTACATTTAACTGAGCTTTGAGGTGCTGATGCTCTAGCGTTTCCCTGTTTCAGCCTAACTTAAATCCAGTGGAGAAAAAATGTCAACCAACCAATCCTTTCATATCAAAGGCGTTAGTCATCCTTTGGTAAAAACAAAGCAAAAAAGACACACTTTGAAAACACAGAGAACAGACAAGACTTTAGAGGTATTACAAAAAAATCTATATTCATTTGTTTTAACAAACAAAAATACAACCAAAGCTGCAAGTCTGGGTTAAAACTACAATATGAGCTGCGAACTAAGGAAATACAAAAATCAATCCTGCTGTTATTCAAGTGTGAACAAATCCTTTGGTAACAGGTAAAACAGATACATTCATCAGTTACAAATAAGTAAGCCTAAAATTAATCTCCCAAAACATAACATGTAGTAAATAACAATGGCTGCTTGGGCCTAAATTAAAGATCAAGGTATTAAGAGTCAGAAAAGGCGAACAGAGGTGATTCCCAGCAACAGACTGAATATGAAAGATGGTAAATGGTAAATGGCCTGTATTTATATAGCGCTTTTCTAGTCCCTAAGGACCCCAAAGCGCTTTACACAACCTGTCATTCACCCATTCACACACTGGTGATGGCAAGCTACATTGTAGCCACAGCCACCCTGGGGCGCACTGACAGAGGCGAGGCTGCCGGACACTGGCGCCACCGGGCCCTCTGACCACCACCAGTAGGCAAGGGGTGAAGTGTCTTGCCCAAGGACACAACGACCGAGACTGTCCAAGCCGGGGCTCGAACCGGCAACCTTCCGATTACAAGGCGAAAGATGAACGTAGCCTCATGGTTTGAAAAGGGAAACCAGTGAGAATGATCTTAAACTGACATTTTTTCCACCCAATGGCCAGCAGAGAGCTACTCGTTCTTCTACTTCTCACTGGTGTCAATCAGAGTTTGATTTCTTATGATTTTCATTATGTAATTATTGTTAATTTTAGAGTAATTCAGACAATAAAGGATGAAAACCGTAAAAAAACCAAGCTGAAGCATTCAAAATGCTCTTCTGATGTCACAGTGGCCCACACCATCTTCCCTATTCAGTCTATGTTCCCAACATGGATTGATCACAATACAAATACGAAGTTTCACAACATGAATTTACAGGAAATTTATATATATCGATATCATCGATATTTATCAATATGTTAATATGTTTTTTCTTATTTTTTAGATTTGCTGGTTTATTTTAGTCCTTCTAAACTCCAAAAGCTGTTAAACTGAAACTAATGAATGACCAAAAGTGTCTTGGTGGAACGGATCCATCCAGTGAAGAGGGATAAGTGGTAGGGCTGCACGATTTTGCATAAAATGAGAATCACGATTTTTTTTTTGCTTAGAATTGAGATCACGATTCTCTCACGATTCTCTTTTCCAGTATAAATATTTATTGCACTTATTAACTGCACATCAACTTTGTAACAGTTGAGACTGAACATAAAAACAATAAATAAACATAAAAACAACAAATGTCTCACGTTTTGTGGTTGCCGCAAAATGTTGTACTGCTTGAAATTCCGTCTCCACCGTTGCTCGACACTGCGTGTATAGAGCAGGTAGTGCAACAATAGAAAAATAGTTGCGGGACGGCACTGTGTAGCGTTTGTCTAGGGTGTTGATCATTTTCCTAAATCCCTCGTTTTGCACAGTGTTGATGGGAGCCATATCTTTGGTCAGGTGATAAGTGATAGCCTCCGTAATTTCTTTGTGCCTGCGGGAGTTCGACGGGTATAGGGAAACGCTGTATAAGGTTCCCGTTATTGATGTTTGGGTGGTTGACCAGGACGGATTTTCTCCTGTCACTTTCTCGTCATCCCTGACGTGCTCTCCGTTGTTTTTTCCCTGCTAATTTTAGCATCACACGGCACAGCTTCTGTATCACGTGGTATAAGGCTCCGCCCTTGTCATTTGTTGAGCAGGAAGAGTGAGCGCTTGTTTTCATGCAGATTACGTCCCGGATCAAAATGCGGTACAATTGTCGTCGTGTTTTTTTTTTGTTTGTTTGTTTTTAAAAATCGTTGTCATTTGGAAATGAGATCGCACATAAGTATGGATTGAGATCGCGATTTTCTAACGATTAATCGTGCAGCCCTAATAAGTGGCCAAACATGCTGGGAACCATGTTGGGAAATGTTTTGGTGATTGTTTTCTCCAGAGAGAGAATTTTAGACAGTAGAAGAAGAAACGTAATATAACCTTGTTGTTCTTTAGGAGGTCACATTTTAACTCAGAACATACTGCAGCTTTAATGTGTGATTTAGGGAAAGTATTGGTGAAATTGCTCTGGACAGTTGAAACATTACTGGAGTGTCTTTTGGAGACATGCAAAACTGCATGTGAAATTCTCATGTTAAAAACTATTAAGAGACCAGCGGTGGACAAGGGACGTCTATGGGATGTAATAAATAAAACAAAAGCTGACAGCTGACTGTTCAAGAGTTAACTCTACATCTAACCTCCTCTCTCAAGAGAAAGATTCAATAGTGAAGAGAGAAAAATAATTTGTTCCTCATCAGCCCATTGTCCATCTGTTCCACTGTGACTCCTTTATTCCACCACTTTGTTAGATTCCCTCCATATTTTCTATTTCCTCCCACTATCACAGCTTTGCTCTATTTCCCTCAGTCTTATCTCTGAATGCCAGAGTTCTTTCTCTCTAACTCCTCCTCAAATCTTCCCTCCTTCATCACAGCTCGTCCCGTGCGCTCCAGTTCTCCAGTTCAGATTGCAATACGTCAGAGTTTTGGGCTTCGAAACTCAGCTCTTCTTGCTCCTGAGTTTTCCTGGACTTGGCTCGGTCCCAGTCGGTCCTGACTGACTCGTTGTCCCAGACTACTGATGTTTCCGTGTCACTGATGTAGCCCGGGTCTCCTGTGTAATGGGTCGGATACACCAGAAGCGGCTCAGCAGAAAATGCACGCAGGTCCCGACGCTCAAAGTGGTCCATGTACTCTGATCTGATGAGCGAGACAAGCGGGGATGTGATTAGATTTACAAGAGCGCCACAGAAGAGGAATCACAAAGAGGAGGCAGATAACAGGAACAAAGAGAACACGTGGAGAGCAGATGGGTTATACTTACACTGGATGTTTGTTGTACATGACAGGAAGGAACTCGTCAACAGGCAGCATCTTCCTTAGAGGATCTGCACCGAGGAGCTTCTTGGCTCCTTGTAACGACAACATGTAGCCAAGAGTCCAGTAGGAATAGTCGGCCTCCACCAGATTGTGGATGTTTGGTAACGACTTCTCTGGATGGTCCACCTGCATTCGTTTCCGCCCAATATAACTGCAAGAGTTGTTCACATATAAGAGGCACAGATCACAGATTTGAAATGACAGCTAATAACAGTAAATCTACTCTACTGTCTTAACAACTATGCTGAATCCAGATGGAAGAGATGGTAGGCATCAGATTTGAATATGACCCTTTTAGTTTTATCCTCTTGAATTAACTAAGTGAACTTATATTTTAATTAGCAACTAAGAATCAGCACACAGATGAATATTGTTTCAATTTGTTTTAAAACCCACTGTGAGCAGGCACACTTCCCTCTGTGATGCTTCAGAACATTAATGTAAATTTCTGCAGTGATGGTCTAACTGTGGAGGAAAAGTACACAACGCAAAACCTTGAGAACTACTCCTGCCCTGATGCGCCTTCTTGGGGCTTGGACACTTGCTGGGAAACTCTCATCAACAGTGAAGATTAGGGTTGGGCAATATGTAAAAATTTTCCAACCGACAATTGTCAGTCCAATAATCGGCGATGGACGATACATGTGCGCATGTGCAGACTTTTTGGTGGGCGAAGCAATGTAGTCATGCACGTGTTTACAACACAGAAGAAGTCCAAACATGGACGAACTAATTTGCCCAAAAAATAAGGGATGACAGCGTTAACGCGGTCATCACGATTAAAATTTTTAATTTGCTCAACCCATCTAGAGCGCAGAATGAACAAACTTTGGACAAACTGCCCGAAATGCATTGACAGAGACATTTCAGGGATTTTGACTCCAGATGGGTTCATTCTTAATCGCGATAGTTGTGATGACGGTGCGTTAATGCTGACAACACTAAAATAAAATATAAAGTTGCCCATTTGGGATGAAAGAGGTAAACCTAAGGATCTAACCAAAGCGGTGTGCCGCTTGTGCAGACGTATAGTGCGAGCAAAGTACTCAAACACGACTAACTTGCATGAGCATGTACGTGTCCACCATCCTAGGCTATCACCAGCTTCTGCAGCTCCATCAACAAGCATTTGGGCGTATTCTGAGGAGGGTGCATTTGCTCGCAGATGAAAGAGGGTGCTGTTAAAACAGCGCTATTATTATTTTTTCTGTTGACTGCTTCTATTAGCTCCATCATTATTAGCAAACTTACTCATGGGCAAATAAATAAATAAATCGCCCTTAAAAAAACGATCACCTATGGGCTCAGCCTATCGTCGATAGTCGATATATTCGTCCAGTCGCCCAAACCTAGTGAAGATGTGCACTGGTTAGCTGATACTGGATATCCACGGTGAAATTGCAAATGGACACAAGTAAGTAGGCAGAATGGGACCCACATCCCTTTCTCTTGCCAGACAGTAGCAAATGCATCAATTACAACGTTTGTGCAATTATAGCTTAAAAATAACTCCACATAGCAATATTGGAGTTCGATTGATAATTTCCACTTAATAATGTGATTGGAATAAATGTTTGTGTTTTAACAACATTTTTTCACACTCGCATAGCGGAAACTCTTAATGAGATATCAATGAGTCTCTGCTGCCACTATGACAAAGAACCCAGCAGCAAGAAAATTCAATCAATTCCTCCTCAGCTGTTGAATTCATAAGAAAAAAAATACGACTACAAAAATATACAATCGGGCTTTTAGAAATACTAAATATAGTTGCAGCTCAGCTCAAGCAGACTTTGCTGCAATATTTGAAGGTCATGTCTAGATGAGTCTCCCGAACAGCTCTTATTTCGGATAGTTTCAATGAAAATGCCGTAGGATGGTGCTCAGGAGTGGGATGCTGCACTGGATTATTCCCACAAGTGTTCTCAGCATCTAACTGGTGGCGTCTGAGATATCGTGTGACAGATGGTTGGATTTCACTGTAAGAGGATGATGGAGATGATAATCCTCTCTGTTTACTACACTGTGTATTTCCTCAGTTCACTGAAGCATCACTCACATGAGATCCCAGTCCAGCTTGTGTGATGTCACTTCCTGCAGCAGTGCCTGAAGGCGACGTTTGAAGAATACTTCAAAGCGGAGGTCGTCCTCGATGACCAGAGAAGTCTGGAGACCTCGGTCTACTATCTGAACGAAGACATATGGATATGGAGCATTACAGTGCTGCCAATATATTGGTGAGCCTGTGCATAAAATCCATCATGTACTTAGGTGGATTTAGTGTAACGTTTGTTAAATCCTTTTTGACCTTTATGGGTCCTTCGTACAAAATGATTACAAATGGCTAATTTTCTATAATTACACATAAAAGCCTGTGTGTTTGTTCATTCTCCCAAAATAACAGGAGAGGCTGAATACGGCTGGTTTAATTACTATACTGACTGAGCTTTTTCCTGACAAACAGTGCAGCTAAACTATGAAGTCTTTTATAAAGATTCTTTATGAAAACTACCAGTTGACCATGTAGACTGGGCACACACGACATTGGTTCCCAAATTGTAACCTAACTATTTTTGATGGCCTCCAGTGTAGCCAGGATATCCAGATAGTGGATATCCGCTTTTTGACTTCCCGGTTATTGTTTGCAAATACAGATACAATGAAAAAGGCTCATGAAAATGCAATAAGTCACTGGTTTTGCAACTGCATTTTGGTGAATACAGTCCCTTAATTGCTCTTCATGTGGACTGTTTAAATGCATGCAATCAAAGTCTATTCAAACATGATTGGTAAACAGAGGCTGGACAACAAGAGAACTGTAATTGGAGAAAGCTACCAGTCTCCTTTTCTTTGCTTATACATCCTACATAATCACATGCAGATAGCAGTTCATAGAGATTACATGCACTGCAACGCCCTTGAGTAGATGCATGCCGGGTTTTTGCCCCTAACCCTAACCCTCGCTTGTAATTCCTCTCTCTTTCCTTGCACTTTTTATTACAGCAAGTATATTTTCATCATGAAAATAATAATAATAAGATGTACAAATTTGTCCAAAAAAAAGCAGCGCTCTCATTGAAACATATAGAAGACAAGTTTATTTGCCGCTCAAGCCACCTTTCCTCACGCAATCTCAATTATTGTGTTTTTAACAATAAACCTTATCTAAGATGTGCAGGTAGACATAATTGCCTTAGGACAGCTCAAGAGTCTCACCTCCTTCCAGATGTTGTAATGAGACAAGAAACAACCCAGTTCACCCTTGGTTAGAGGTCGACCGTGATAAGGGTCTTTGTATCCTGGCAGCATCTTAAGCCCCATAGACTCTATATCAGACTTGTTCAGAGCTCTGAGAGAAAGAGATGGACATTGAGATTTAATATGGAATCGATACTCAAATGAAACAGTGAATAAACATGTACAACACAAATATATTCGTAAGCCATACAGGTATCAGGACTGACTGCAGAAACAAATCAATTACGAATAACTGAATAACAGCCTAACTTTTGGACAGCCCACGCGAAGGTTAGAGACATAAATAAGCAAAAAGTATGTGGCTCAGGGAATCTAGAAATAAGAGCAAGCGACCAGCTGCTTTTCACCTGGTTGTTTGTCTCAGCCCGGGCTCACTACATCAATTTACACTGCATGTTGCAGAGGCACAAATCAGGAAGACACAAGCGGTGGGGGAGGAAGAAAATGAGAAACGTACTTGCCATCCACAGCAGCAACAACCTTACAGCTGATCTCCTGCTCGTACAGAGTTTTCAGCATTCGCTCACGACGGTCAGCTCTCCGCACCAGATTTATCATAAACACCTGGGTGCACGCAGATGCAAAACACACACGTCTAGATTACTGTGCACGTATTTATGTGTGTGAGAGAGTGAATGAGTGTGTGCATGTATACCTCATCAAAGCCTATCTTGTTAGGCTGCTTGGGAGGAAGAGACAGGAAGCTGGAGGGCTCCAATGGTGGATTTTTTACTGTCAAAGAAAAAAGGAGGGGAGGGAAAAAAGAGAATGAGTAATGTGTTAGAACAGGAGTTCCCATAATGTGGTTTAGGGAACAGCAGGGGTCCACAAGATAGTTGTGAGGGATTCCCCTATGAACGCTGGAAAAAACCTACAGTTTATGTTTTCCTTTGATTTCCTTTGATGTAGTATTTTGCAAGATACTGGTAAGTATTAAAACCGTGTTATAATCAGGTTATTATTATCTTGTATTAGTATTTGTTGTGTGGTTTGTCTTTCTTTTTCTAAAAAGTGATACTTACATATTTTATTCATTCTCAACTCTATATTTTTACTCTGAGATCACACTGGAGTAGCTTTTCATGAGTTAAGAATAATTCATATCTAGCGTATACTGTGCTTTCATTCTCTTTCTGAAACATGCCTCTTAGCTCTTCTCCCTTACAGCCATCCTTCCCTTTAAACTTTCCTGTTTGGCTACCCCTCACAAACAGATGGTACTGTACTCTGAGCTGCGTGTCTGAGATGACCATATCATCATGCCTACCGTGCTCATTTGTCATGAGTTATACAGCATATGGCACTGCTTTGGTAGAAGGTCACACCGCTCTAACTCAGTGCATTTATTTTGTTACTGAGGGAACAGCAAAAGACGACAGTTGGCTGGCGTGAGGATTTGGTTTTGATGGAAAATTTTTTAAATGCAACTCAATGCTAGAGACCAGACGAGGCAAGTGAAAGATGTCTTGAGTACCAACAGCTCAATCTGTTTGACTATAACTAGCTTAAAGACTTCTGAGACATAAACAACTTTATTTGCCTTAATCACAAGAAAACTTGCACCCAACGAGTAAACACAAACAAATCACTTCTGCATTTCTGAGCGCTTTGATCTTTTGACTCACCCATGACTTCAAGGTGAGTATGCAAAAAGCTCTCTGCCTCATCCTGCAAGGTAGCATGAGAACGCATTGGCACCGGGAAATGCCCATAAGTCTCCTTGTTGCATATATACATCTGCACATCTGTAGGCAAGAGATGAAAAACAAGCTTACACTTTCTTTTTTGAGAACTTTAATGGACTTACCACATAAAAACTCCAGCTCTATTGCCTTTAACTCACCTGCCATGCGCGCTGAATAGGCAAAGACAATGACATCATCCAGGGCCCAACTGTATTCTGGGTGTGGTGGATAAAAGGCCAGCTGACGGGAGGCCTCTTTTCTAAGGTCCATCAAGTAGGTAGAGTGGACCATTGGTACAGGAAAACAGCCACGACGCTCCTGCCTGCGGATGGGCATATAAGCTGGTGTGCGCCTGTAGTAACCCTGCAGGAAGTGCAGAAACACTGTGTGCTATAGTTACAAACAGCTCTCAGCTGTGTCCAATTTATAAGGTGAGCAAGAACCTGAACTGAAGGACTGGGATTTGAAGTTTCTGAATGCCTGTAGCACTTCGTAGGAGGTTGAAATATTGACATATTTTTTAAATTTATGACAAAATACATTTTCTAAGAGCAAATCTTGAAATTCTGGGTTGCGCTGACATGGAAAAGACATTGACTGATTGCCTTCTGGCAACAGGCCTATTAACTGTACTGAAGGAAATGTTCTTTAGAGGAATCAGACTGTTGGCTGAAGATGGTTTATTTTGTCTAGAGGACAGTCAGCGTCCTCATGTCTATTCTGATCTGAAAAGAAACAAAGATGAGTTCTGAAAGGCGTCCTGCCAAGACAGGAATAGATCACTGACAGCTTGTGTGATGAATCAGATATGCTGTCAAAATCATGGCAGCAGTGTCTGCATACTCAGGGAAACATGTTTCAATTCAATTCAAAACAATTTACTTTGGGTAATAAATAAATAAATAAATAAATAAATAAATAGAGGTATATATTTACTCATTTGAATAAACAGAGACAGCAGTGGCGTCTGGTGAAGCAAGTGGTAGCAAGTGGCGAAAGAACAAATTAAAAAAATGACTGTTTATGCTGTCTGTGTACCAGCATGTTATGTTAAATATTATATATGGTAATATTACTTCACCAGACAAAGCAAAACTTTTAATTTCCTAAGGAATTCCACGGCATATACAGTCGACAGCCACTTTGTTAGGTACACCTTGCTAGGGCAGGATTGGGCCCCCTTTTGCCTCCACAGCCACCTTAATTGTCCATGGCATAAATTCAACACAGAGCGGGAAACATTCCTCTAAGACTCCGATCTATGTTGACACAATAGCATCACACATTGGCACAAATCTCTTGTTCCCAAAGATGATTGAGATCTGATGACTGTGGAGCTCATTTGGAGCTCATGGACCACTGTGGATATAAAGCAGGGGTCTCAAACTCCAATCCTCGAGGGCCGGTGTCCTCAAGCTGTCCCTGTTGCAACACGCTTGAATAAAATTAGAAGGTCATTAGCAAGAGTATAGAACTTGATTGCATGCTGAAGTGGCAACCCTTAACCCTTAAATTTCAGTAAATGTAAGTGTTTGAAAAAATGTACTTCTAAAAGTAATTTTATTGCACGATGTTCATTCACTCATGGCTGAAATACCACCTCAGCATGCAGTCAAGTTCTATAGTCTTACTAATGACCTATAAATTGTATTCAGGTGTGTTGCAACAGGGACACATGGAAAAGTTTCAGGAAACCAGCCCTCGAGGACTGGAGTTTGAGACCCCTGGTAAAAAGGGATGAACATGGAAATGGGTCCAAAGTGTTACCACCCGGAAGAGTCGACACAAGGCAAGATGGATCCACGCTTTAACGTTGTATTTTTCCAATTCTGACCCCACAATCCACACTACGCAGCAGGAATCAAGACTCATCAGACCAACACTTTTCCAGTCACCTACTGTCCACTTTTGGTGACGCAGCGCAAATTGTAGCCTCGGTTTCCTGTTCTTATCTGACAGCAGCATCACTTTCAACAGCTTCAAAGTTCAACATGATGTATGTTCAAATATGTTCTTCTGCAAACTTTGGTTTCTTTGTAACGGGTTGTTATTTGAGTCCGTTCCTATCAGCTTAAAGCAGTCTGACCATCCTCCTCTGAGCTTTGACATCAACAAGCATTTTTATCCAGCGAGCTGCTGCAGGTGTACCTAACAAAGAGTATATAGCACCTACACATCAAACACACTCCATTCACTACACTGGTAATAATAAAGACTCTACCACACCTTCAAATTGGTTAATTTACAGTGTTTCTAAAGTTAGGTATTGTACAAATATAATTTCCTGAAGCACAAAAAAAAAACCACTCTGTAAATGTTCTCCTAGATTATTTTTCAGTGTTTGGAGGACGGCAGGAAATGTGTTTTTCTTTTCCACAGCAGAAATATTAAAATTTTACAGACTATCAGTAGCCAACAAACTAAATAGTGGATTTCATTATTCATCCAGGATATAAAAAGAGGTTTTTAAGACACGTTATAAAGAGACTAACCTTGATAACAAGGAATATTCAGATTGAAGGACGCTAAATCTAATAGCTTTTTAAGGCCACTTTGATTAAATTTAAGCTCTTGCATTTACAAAAAGGCTTAAAAAACACATTCTGGAAGTACAGCATTCATTTTTTAAAAAGCAAAGAATTTGTTGGACAAAAACTAAGCGGAAAATTAGAAGAAAAGTATAAAACACTATTTCCTTTCAAGCAACTGACCCCCTGGCTTAGGTTTTCCATCCTCCCAAACATAAGAAAATGACACATAAATCTTATCTATCATCTGAAGACATTTGAAAAATGGATTTAGAGACGTAGCAGCAATTTCTCAAAAAGTTAAGATCTTAATTTTGCATCAATTTAAGGCTTTAAAGATCTGAAGACAACCGATGATGAATAATCTTTGCAGTCTCTTTTCTTTGTGTCGCTGTGATTAAAACCTGAAGCTAGCAGAAACTTAATTAAGTGTTATAAATTTAACGATGCACAGAAAAAGGAAAAAAAAACATCCAAGAGATGCACCATCTTGCGGTTTATCATTTCGAGTCGGTGGATAATAGCATTTTCTAAATACTCTTATTGTGCTATTGTGCTTATTGCATTTTAGACTGTTCTTTGCCATCTGGTTGTCACAAATTAATACGTTATTCACACATCCAAACTGCTAACAGAATGCATAGGATGTGAGATACCACATAGCCAAAATTTAAATGGGGTGTAAATGGATAGCAGCTCAAAAGAAATCTGCAGTACCTGTGAGGTCATGCCGCACCAGAAGTTGGAGTATGCAGCTCTGGACTCCAACATGGGAGCTACAATGGTCTTGTTTTCCCTCATCAGCTTCCACAACACATCCTGATTGGTGAGCAGATTGTCACAGTCGGCCACCTGCGGACAGACGAGAAGGGCACAGTATTGACTATCGCACACAAAGGTACACATGTAAGCACCCAAAATGTCAGCCATTGCTTCACAATAATTGACTGAGCCACGGCAACATGGCTTGATCATTAGACACTGTCAGCATAGGCCGCTCCTTCTTAGACCTTTTCACCTCAAAGCACGTAATTTTTTATAAAACCCTCACAAACAGACTGCACTAGTATTTGCTGTAGGCTCATTTTTACTGAGTTTCTGTTCTGAATTGATTTTCAGGGAACATTTTTTGTTGTTTTCTGTTTTTTGTTCAGTGCCAAAGTCTTTGCCTCATTACATCTCAACAACGACAACAGATGCGCTCCAACAAGTGCTCCCAGACAACTATGTGTGTGTGTATGTCTTCAGCATAAAATGTATCCTCTGATATTGGCTTTTTGCACACGCACCTTCAGTACACTTACATTAGGCATTGATTTTCCAAGTCTCTAAAATTCTACTGAAGGGACAAAGTGTAATTCCTCTGAAGGATATTCCCTCGTTTGGTCTTCGGATGATGGTAGCAAAGAGTGCTGTTGAACATATGGGTCTAAAATCTTCTAATTACTGTGTGCATATGGTTCACATCATTTTCATACTCATCAAGCTATTCAACGGCTCCTTGTGCTTTGTGAATGGGGGTATTTTTGCTATGAGAGAGACCAAGTGTTTATTAACAAGATAAAGGTGATTACTGTGCAACTTTGTACCGATTACCATTTTCACTTTCCTCTATTGTGACAGCTGGACCCAATCCATGCGAGCAGGAATATACACCACAGCTTAACAGAACCACCAGACCCCCACAGAGCATTCAGCGTTTTCCTATAATTTGCCAACCGTATGTGCCTTGGCCTTGGCCAGTGTTTGTCCCAATAAGTCACAGGAACTTGTGCTAGAAATGTAGCATAAATGTAGTTAGTTTAAAAAGAAAGTTTTCTCAGGACTCTATGCAGTACATCCCATGATTCATTCAACAGCTTGCAGAACCATCTTTAGCAGCCTTGGAGTAATTGTTTTTCTGTTTAAAGAAATTCTGGCCCACTCTTCTTTGCAACGTTGCTTCAGGTTCGAGGACATTTGTTTATTCACGCCTTGCTTAAGGTCGTGCCACAGCATTTCAATTAGGTTGAGGTCTGGGCTTTTTCAACCACTTTTCGTTTTGTAATAGATTTGCTGCTGCGCTTTGCATTACTGTCATGTAACAAGACGCAATTTGGGTCAAGCTTTAGCTGTCAGACAGCCTCTAGCATAGTGATCGTGGCTCAAGAGTTGGGAGTTCGCCTTGTAATCGGAAGGTTGCCGGTTCGAACCCTGGCTTGGACAGTCTCGTCGTTGTGTCCTTGGGCAAGACACTTCACCCGTTGCCTACTGGTGGTGCCAAGCTATAATGTAGCTTGCCATCACCAGTGTGTGAATGTGAATGGGTGGATGACTGGTTGTGTAAAGCGCTTTGGGGTCCTTAGGGACTAGTAAAGCGCTATATAAATACAGGCCATTTACCATTTTTACCATAGCATTCAACTCAGTGCAAAAAAAGCCGTAATAATCATCCCACCACCACCGTGCTTGGCAGTTGGTATGAGGTGTTTGTGCTGATGCTGTGTTTGGTTTTAGACAACCTATGCATTATGGTCAAACATCTCCACTTATTGTTCCAAAACTCTTGTGGTTTATGCAACTTTGCACAGAGTCCTATGAAAACTCTCTTTTTCACATGACTGTATGTAAAACTATATGGTAGGAATTAGTGGAAAATCTTTTAAATTGTTATTTCTTACTTACATCGCAAATATTAATAAAAATCAATGCATATCTACCTGTTTGCCTAATATATGAAGGAATGATGTAAAACAGTCCTATCTCAAAGTACTGGCTAACTGGCCACAAGTTTACTTGTACACAGGTATTAGCACGCAAGAGTTCTAAATAATAATGGTTTAAAACAATAAAATTGTATAATACACTGAAAACCTAACTTCTTGTGTCCTTTTGCATTGTCGAATCGAAACAGCTCTAACAAAACAGCAAAAAAACAAAACAAAACAAGCTCATTTCTGGCAGTGTGCCATTCAGCCTTTAGTTACCAGCTACACGGAGCTGTAGTTGTTTACAAGTGCAAAAGCACTGTTCTTCCCTGAACTAGGGTTTTAAAACTATAAAGAATTTAACACTTGACACAACAGCATTAGTAAAAATGTCAGCCTGAAATTTGCATATTTTGAATTTTTTACCTGAGTTCTCTGAAGAGATATAAGCATTTGTAGATAATGTGGATGAGTGGCTGTTAAGAGAGTGGAGTGTCATGAATCAGCGTATTGTAATTTCCACAGATATCGCCTTATTCACCGAGCTGAGAGCACATAGTTGTAGAGCTGCAGAGTGGATGATAGCATACCAGAAGATAGTCTGCCCATATCTCACGGGCAGTGTCCAGCGCTGCCTGACGGAGCTTCATTACATGTTCATAACGGAGATTATTCCAGTGCTTGGGCCCCACCTCATCTTCAAAGGCACTGAGGCATGCAAAGACAGACGCATTAAGTAATGTGCACACCACGCACACACAAACACGCACAGAGACCCATTGTCACACATGGGCACGCACGTACCTGGGTTCATCTTCGGGTCTCCACTCCACATAGTGGTAATAACTCTGGACCTTGATGAGCCACTCTCTTAGGATGGCTGTAGTGTTATCTATGTTGTGGTCTGTCGCCACCCTGTGGGAGTGATGACAGGAGAGAGCGAACTCTGAGTAAAGAACAGTTCTGCTGGTACCAACAAGTATTAAGACTTAATTTGGCTTAAAGGGAGATGAACATGTATCATTATGTGTGAAATTTATTATTACAATATACAGCATATTAGAGACATGCTGGAATAGCATTGGTCCCAGTCCTAGCATTAATAAGACAAGGCTGTGAATCCTAGGAAAACTATTTTTGGTCGGTGTCGCTATAAAATTCTGTTTTATTGGGTCACTGACTACATTTCAAACAACCACAGTAATCCCTGTACATGATGTACTTTTATTTATTAATATTCGCCAGCATTTATTATTCTGCCACTCAAACAGCATTTTCTCAGCAGGAGCCCTGTTGTTTTCTCTTCTGTTCTGTCTCATTTACTGCAGTCAGCTAATGTCTCTGCATAAATAGTTACACAAAGCTTCTGCTTTTGGAAGAAGAATGATCCTGTTCAGTTTTATACACTGAAGTATGGAGGTGGTAGAGAGGATTATAGATTGATTATCGGTTGTTTTCCAATCAGGATTGTGAGTTGTTTCCAAAAATCAAGTGGGAAATGTTTTGTGCATTAAGTAATAAAGTTCAAATAGTTTGCAACACTTGCCGGTGCACAAACTCAACATTTTAATATTCCAAAATCATACAGAAATGAGCATCAGTAGATCAACATGTCTTGACTGGAATAAAGCCATTTAATAACTAGGTGAAAATTTCAAATATCAATCAACTGTAGAAAATATTTCAGCCTTAAAATTCAAGTCATTTTAGATTTAATTATCCATCATCTATTTATATGGCAACAATAATTTTTTATTGTAAGGTAAAGCCCCATTCAACAGAGTTGGATCGAGTTCAGCATTCATTCTAGAGATAAAGGACTAGGTGTTCTAGTCCTGGTGAGGAAAGATTTAGCATCATTAAATTAGCTGATACCTGTTTCTGTGTTTTGCACCTACAGTTTATTAATGCATCTCGCTAACTAGCTTCAGCTGCTAAATTGGGATTCAACCTTTTTATTCACATATGACAGTTTCAAGATAACAATAACAACATGTAAGTGGCTGAAACACCAACACTGAGACTTCAAAATACAGAGTCAACAACCAGTGGGCTGATACAATGGCCACGTGTTTCGTACTGTCTGTGCTGTGTACTGGTTAATCACAAACTTTGTCTTGCGAAACAAAGCAACTAGAACTCTGAAGGAAACGAAACAAGCTGAAAAATGCTGAAACAGCCCACAGAGCTAAGATGTATGAGAATATTTGGGTGGTGAGCTCAAAGTCATTGCATAAGCCTCTGAAGGTTTTTTATCCATGGTCACAAACCTTCAGAGGCTGGAACCTAAAATTAATGTATAAGTAATGTATATAATAAATATTAGTAATACACGTTAATATAAAGCAAGGTCATTTTTCAAGTGCTGCAGCCTGGCATTCTTTCAGCTGATGACACGGGGATACTCTACACATTCTCATCCCTGACATGCATTCACCAATGCAGATTTCAGTTACAGTCGAAGTTAAAAGGTTGGATTGCATGTCTTCAGCATAATTAGAATGGTCCTTTATTGCACACATTCCACTTTGGTCCTTTACTGCTTATTCTGTCCTGTACCTGACTGCCTTTATGTGACTGCCTTGTGATTTCTGTAAGTAGGCTTTAGAAATATTTCTTCAGGCTTCTTAAAGGACACTCTGATCTTCTTTGAATGCCCCAAACGTGTTGCCTTTTATTCCATTCTCTATCAAAGTGATCCCACACCGCATTAATAACTTTGAGGTTTGGACTCTGGGGAGGCCAATCCATGACTCAAAGTTTTTTATTGTGTGTGTTTTTTATCTAAGTAAGCTTTTACTGCACTGGCAGTGTTTTTAAGATCACTGTCAGACTGAAAATGAAACTGTCCGCTAGCACTGGGTGAAATGCTGCACTAAATCGTGTTTTACAAATGGATGTAGACAGTCACTGTTGTACCTGTCTGTTGACTAAATTTTTCAAGTTTGGATTCATCAGTTAATAACACCTGTTGCCACTAATTTTCAGATGTGTCTCAGGTCCTGTGTTAGGTCTTTCCTGGATTTGTTCACATTTGTTAAGGTTATGTCTTTAAGACACTGTTTTGACCTTCTTGATTAAAAAAATGTTATTTTTCATACATTCAACTAAAGAAATGACGTGTTTTTTGTGACAGGCTACTAGTAACAAAATGTCTAAATTTAAATGAAATAGTTGCTAAATTGTCTGTTATGTTTAGACACGACGCTGGTTCAACACTTGAGTTGGGTGTCTGTTTTATTAATGGGTCAGTGTTAAGTGGCTCAATAAACAAAATGAAAATGACACAAAGACTAAGCTGAACATGAGTGAAATGTTCAAAGAAAAACTTGGCAATGAATATGTTGATATTTAAAGAGTGCAGTTTAATGGCAACCTAAGACATTTTAGGACATTGATAGTCTGAACCTGGAGGACAAATTCACAGTGCAAAAAAAACTAACCCTAAAGAAAACAAACATGCTCCTGGCTGTGCTGCTCGTCTAATGGACATTTTGGGGGATTGGAAACAGCAGGATCCTCTGCTGAACACTTTTGGGTCTTAGCGAGAGACAGAACTCTCATCACCAGCGATGATGCTGACTGATAAAATCTTTGACATCAAAGTTGACATTTTCTCTATATCCAAGTTCAAGCTCCACAGTGAATTAACAGCTACACTCCTACTAGTGCTCAAAATGAGACTCCCAGCGCTGCTGGAAGCAGTGCAGGGCTACAAAAGGATGTGACCTTGAAGAAGATAACAAGCAAATGTAAATCAGCTTTTGATTTTCATACGCTCAGTTGCTGAACTTCTTGAATGCTCTCATAATCCTTTTTATGGCCTTGCTGTCATTTGAGGTTCAAAGTGTCACATCACTAGTATCAGGTGTGGACGGGGAAAGAAAGGCAGACAATAGAGCCACAGAAGGGGAGGGTGGCATTCAGCTGCTCTCTGTGCTATCATAACAAATCTAAGTGTGTCAGGGAGGGGCAGAGACAAAGACAGAAACACAGACGGAGCGTGAAAGAGGGAAAGAATGTGTAACACGGCAGAAATGGATTTAACTCCAACCCTGTCATGTAATGAGCGTCAGTCAACGTGCTGCTGATGTTAGCCTTCCCATCTGTCTGTGGCGTTTTTAACACAGCAGTGTCATCTCAGCACCTACATGTGACCAGCTAACCAATCTATCTTCTTCTCCCACGCTCTCTCTCTCTGCATGTGTCTACTTCTTTTCTCTCTGTTGGACACAAATTTCTGACAGCTGTGAAGTTCTGAATGGCCAGAGGTAGTGAATTAAAAAGGGTTTGTGAAAAATAAATATGTGCGATTGCAGCCATGCCTAACGGATATGAGAGAGCTAGGGAAAAAAAGGCAGGAGGAGGAAGATGATTTATGGCTTGATGATAACATCCCCACTGCATGTCCCTGCAGAGCACACACACTCACCAGTGTGTGTGTGTGTGTGGTTGTGTGTGTGTGTGGCCGTTTGCCAAGTATTTCATCTTAACCTGTCACGTTGATAACTGCAGACATCGACAGGTGGCAAGCCAGCAGCTCAGAATATATCTTTCACACTGCATTTCAAAACTTTTTATATCAGCTCTTCCACGGAGAGATGAGCTATGTTGTATATCAAAGCGAGCCCGCTGAAAACTGGCTGCCACATGGGCATGGTTAAAATCAGGCCCAAATATCTGGCTCAGACACAAGGAAAGAAGCTCAACATCCAGGTTGGTTTGTTTGAAGAGGCACACGGACACTTGAATCCCTCGTTCTGGGTCTGATGGAAAAAGTTTCAATTCAGCATTTAAATGAAGCACGGCATCCTCTGATCAAACAGCCATTTCACAGGAGTGACTGATGTTTAGTTTTAATTCCCCTTCCTGCTGTCACATTAAACGCAACTCTGCTAGAGGCGTTTAGCCCCTCATTTTCCTTCATTAGACCACTGGATTGCCAACTAGGATATAATCTAACCTGTCAGGTGTGAATGCTGATGAAAAATTTAAAAGAATCTCTCAATTTTCAAGAACAGATATACTAGCAGGGGATCACAGGAAGTTAGCAGAGCTGGAGACAGGAAAAATCTAGAAGGAGGGGGGCTGGGTAGCAACAGAAAAAAAACAGCCTTAAGGTAAAAGAAGATAAGTCCTGCGGGGGCGTTTTAATACACGGGCTCACATTCACAGTCTATTGTGTCTGGTCGCATTGTAAAAGATGTATTCAAAATTGTTTTAAATACTAGTTTTGTTTCCAGACGACTTTGGGAGACGACGATGAGGAAGGGGAAGAGGGAGGGGAAAGAGCGGGACTATGTAAGAGAAGCTCCGTGACTGAATGGAACTTTTCCTGGGCTTGACTCTGCAGGCGGAGTTCGCCCTCCCTGCTCTGCCAGCTCAGGTCCACACAGTAGGGGAAGCCACGCTGCTCCCAGTTGCACTCATTTCATCACTGGTGTCATTTACAAAGATAAAGCCCACGCTGCATATGTGTTCCCACAGCTTTAGAACACAGCGCCCCCATCTGATCGAATCTCACAAGCGCACGCGCAAACGCACGCAGAGTTTTCCTCTATAATTTAAACCCGGGCTCGACGTGTCTCTCGTGCGCCACTGAGATCTTACAGTGAATCCCATTTTGTTGTACTTTAGTCAGCTAGTTCCTTTAATATGTTGACACGACACACTGATGACACTCACCACAGCGCAATGCGGTCCTTCGGGTAGTTCAGGCGCTCGATGGTTCCGAGGAACAGCGGCAGAGAGTGCGCCGAGTTGCGACAGACCAGCGCGATAACGACCCGGGGAGCGAGGATCGGAGACTCGGGGCTCCAGCGCTCCTCGGGGAAATAGCCCCAGCTCCGGCCCGGCAGGAGAACGAACAGCAAGGTAAGCAGTAGCGAGGTGACCCGGTGCATGGCAGGGGCGAGTAACTCCTAGAAGCCAGGGCGGACAGGAGAAGGAGACTGGGGGATGTAGTAGCCGAGGGTCCCGCTGTTGTATTATGCCGACAGTGTGTACATGGCAGAAGAGCTGGCTGAATTAAAGGGCAGGTCTTGACTGCTTTAAGGGGAACTCTCTGCTGTCCAAAGGCCGTTGCTTCGCAGCCGCTATGCACCACAGTTACAGAGAAAATTAACCGTGAGCTACTGACAGGTTAAGCTAGAATGAATCCTACCTATATATCGTTAGCTTCATAGCATAAGTGCCTAAGTCATTTTTTTGTGTTTTCGGAAAACAAGAAAAAACTAATTTTCTAAATATCACATGCATATTTTTAAATATCACATGCATATTTTTAAATATCACATGCAATTTGACCAAAAAATGACTTAGGCACTTATGCTATGAAGCTAACGATATATAAAACAACCTTCTCTTTCCTATAAGGCCGACTGGACTCACACTTTGCCATATGCTGCCCTCCCCTTTAAGAATAGATCCAGCTGTAGCAGATGGAAAGCCATTTGGGCGTGTCGGATGTGTTGAGCACACTGCAGGCCTGTCATACCTCTGCAAAATATCGTCCAGAAACTCTAAACTAAGGGGATTTACGCTCTGCTTTGGAGCTACTGTTTGAGTAAAACCTTCATCTCATGCCGTGTCCCATAATCATGCATCTGTTATACCCAAGTGACAATATAATCATGATAATGACAATAATGGTGATTTTTGTATACAGAAATATTAAATTACAGAGCAAATAATTAAAATCATGGTGTACAGCAAACCTAAGCACTACCAGGCATTTTAGTGATTAACGCTAAAATTGAATGATTAAAATGAAAGATATTAGTGAGAAATGATTCCCGGATCTCAACGTGAGAAGAAATCCGCAGGTATAAGATTGTGTAATTGGCCAGTGTTGAGTCCTTTTGCTGGAAAGTGGTGGCGCTGAAGGTACTGCAGTACCCCCTAGTGGATAGAGATGACCTACATGTCTACAATTACAAATGAAAACATAAAGTAGAACTCAGACTCCATAAGCTACTTTTATTTTTCCTTATATTTTTTTTCTTGGCTGCTTGCTTTAGTGGTTGCCATAGTGGATCATCTGCCTCTATCTCCACCTATTCTTAGCCTCCTCTGTCACACCAATCCTCTGCATGTCCTCCCTCACTACATCCATTTATCTGTGCTCTTCCACTTTTCCTCCTGCATGGCATTTCTACAAGAAGTATCAGTATAACTACCTTTGTCTTTGCCATCATATCAGCTAGTACTCTCTGTTTACCAGCTATAGCTTACACCTACTCTCAGCTCTTCACTTCTAACTTCCCTCCTCTCTTGTCGCCTCCCCCTCTCCTCTTCCTTTGTCTTCGGCCAACAGTACCATAGTTTCCACAGGCTCCTTGTTGGCCAACAGCACCAGAGGCAATCATTGTTAATCTCCGACCAGTGCGGAATGGGACCCTCCTTACTGGTGCTCTTTAATATACAGTGCACTGGCTTGTCCCCATATACATGCATACATACATAATAAGATTTTAATCACTATGAATCCAAAGTAGAAGTGCGCTTTTGAAAGCATTCAGTATGGCCACTTTTTAATGGTTTGATACAGCAATCCATTTCTGTTATTAAGCATATTATTAACTACCTGTTAATAATAATCACTGATCAATGCATTTATAAACACACAGTACTCGCAAAAGTCTTGAAGCATTCCTCATTTATTTATAATTTGCTTTAAAAAAAGACAGACTTTATTGTTTAAGTGGTCTTGAGCTATAGTCTTCCGTGATTTCTGAAGGTCTTTTAAAGGTTGTTTTTTTTTGGACATGGGTTGTGCTTTAACTAATTTTTAGACCAGAAGACACAGCAGACAAGGGTGTCACTGTTGTATTATACTGACATGAGATTGGATTGGCGCTGGCTGAATTAAAAGGCAGGTCTGAACTGGTTTCAGGGGAACTCATTGTTGTCAAAAGGCCATTGCATGCCAGCTTGTATGCACCACAGCTACAGTAACATTGAACTGTGAGTGAGGTACTGAGAGGTTAGGTTGATAAGACAAATCCTCCTTATGTATTCAAACAACCTTGTCTTTTTAATAAAGCCATCTATACTTTCCCTTTGACATATGCTGTCCTCCCTTTTAAGAATACATCACACAGTCTGCTCCTTGTACCTGAGCAGTACAAAGTTTTGTTTTTGTTTTTTTTGTTAAGCAACTCACTTATGACCCATTCAAACATAAAAAGGCATCTAACTAAATGGATGTGTTGTGTCTACACATACAGACAGCTTAGGAAAGGAGCAATTTTAAATTGTGTCTTTAGGCACTTTGTTAATAGCAGCCTATCACGGACAGTGACTGTCTGCAGCCATCTGTAAAACACACCGGAGGCTCTGAAATGGTTTGGTGCTGTATTTCATCCAGTGATGTTGGGGATCTTGTGAAAAGAACTCTGGAACTATGAATAGATACATTTTAATCTACCGTATTATATCAGCTGTTTGGCAACAGATTCATGTTTCAGCCTGAAAATAATTCCAAATGCATTCACAATGCATAAAAAGCATAAATTAATATAAAACCACACAGTGAAACCATTAGTTATGGATTGGCCTCCCCAGAGCCCGGACCTCAACGTTACAGAAGCAGTGTGGGATCATCTTGAGAGCATGGAACCAAAGGAAGCTAAAATTCAAGAAGAACTTGGAAATATCATTCAAGAAGCCTGTAGAACAATTCCTGAAGACTACTTTTAAAAATTACAAGTTTGCCTAAGAGAGTTCAGACTGTGCTGAAGAATAATGGCGGTCATAACAAATACTGACTTTCAAGCTCTTTAAAATTGTACAAATAATAATTGTATAAAAAAAATATATATATATATATATATACACACACAATGAAACTGCCTTTCATAAGTTATAACCGTTGTTGTTTACTTTGCCTATATATGTTGTCTTATGATCAGTATCCATATTAAATAACAGCTTATTTGGTAACTGTTTTATCAGCATTTGTGGAAATCTGCCTTTTATATGGTGTCCAGCTGCAATATGTCTGTGCAACCTTTAATATGTTTTCTTACATGGTTTTCCCTTCACAGACAAATATGAGCTTTAAATTTATATGAACTGTATTTTTCAACGTATTTATTCTGATATTTTTCATATGGTGCTGAGGGTGTCATCCTAAAGTCACACATATTGTATCATCCTCACAACACCCCCACATGAAACGTGTTCTCACAGCTACGGTTTTGCTTTATTATAGCATCTTAAACTATTAACGCCTACTGCTGCGCTTATTTATGTAGCATTTTCTTTCTTATCAATCACTCAAACCCCTTTAGACAATCAGTCTTTTTACCCATATATTTTATTGCATTATAATATAAAACAAAAGCACATATTTTTAATTCGACCCTAAGTTTGAATCACCAGTTAACCTAATATGCCTGTTTTTAGGAGGAAGCCGGAGTCAACCTTCAGGCACACGGAGAGCATGCTCGGAGAATCCCAACTGGGATTTGAATCAGGAACCTTCTAGCTCTGAGGCAACGTTTGCACCATTGTGCTAAGAACATGCACAGATCAGGCATAAGATTATGACCACCTGTCTAACACTGAGTGGCCCTTTTCAGACTCATTCAAATCCTTACACTTGACAATTTTTTCCTGCTTTTAATGCATCAGCTTTGAGAAGAAGAAAAAAACGTCAATTTGATCCCTAATATAACCCACCCATTAACAGGTGCCATGATGAAGAGATAATCAGTGTTATTCACCCATCAGTGGTCATAATGTTATGCCTGATGCGTGTATTATAGTCTCTTTTCTTCTGGTAGTGTAATTAATGTGCATTTTACAACCTAAATAAATGTACATGACCTTTATGTACAAGACTTTACATATTTATGTTTTTCTTTTTCTAGGGAAATTGAATAGAAACATGCAAAGGATATAATTTTAGAGGTCAAAGCCTCTACTGTGCCGCCATGTAGTTCCTTCATGGCTCATTGCCTTCATCAAGGACTGAGAGCATATGTTTTTCTGAGTTTTTAGAGCGGGCTCCTTGTCTCCTCTGTCAAACATGATGCTTGGCATGAGTTTTTCAGATTCTGATTAAGAGCCTTCAGAGGTTTGGCTGGGCTTCTGCTGGCAGTCACAATGACGGAGCAGCTTGTCATGTACTGGTTCAGAGACACCAGAGCTGGAGCTGTGGGGGATGTTGGGATTGACATGGAGATGCACAAACTGCTGTGGGACTGTCTCATCTCAGCATGAAAACAAAATGTAGCATGTAACTGACAGCGTAACAAGTAATCGGTTCAAGATAAGCACGGCACACTTATTCTTAAACCAGAAACAACTCCTTAAGTCTGACTTAGACTAAAAATTACATATACCTTTTTTGGATATGAGAAGTCAGGATGTCTCTTAGGATGAATTCAAAGATAGTACAGGGATAAAGAGAGCTTTTTCAAGCTGATACCTGGAATCATAGCAGGTCAGATAATAAAACCATATTAATTTATTACAAGAATATTAATAATTTTGATGTGAGAAGGGAATTAAGCAGCTTACACACATAAAAATGTAAAGAAATGCCTGCTCAGTCACACCTTGTGCAAGTACTGGCAGCGAGATCTACAGGATCATTTGCAGAATTAATTGAGATGACAGAGTCAACAGTTCTGTTCCCAGGTGCAGGGTAAAATGAACATGCCCAGACAGAAACAGACACATACAGGGAAATGTGCAAGAGCTTTGCATTTTACTCTGTGACAGCACAATCTGAACAAACTCTGGGGCATAAAACTCACAATTAATCTCACCTTATTACACACCTTAATCACTCTGTCTTTGATCCTGCACAGCACTGCTGTGATCAGAGACCGAGCTCCAAAATATCGCAGCACACATATTAACCCCGTGGAAAGAAAGAAGAGTGACGGGATAGGAAAACCAATGTGATGGCATTTTAAAAATGCTTTTATTTGCATTACTTTACTGGGTATACAAAATGTTTCATTAATTAGCTTTGCAGAGAGCATTCTGAGTGGGCTTCCTGTGTGTCCAGTAGTGTCTCTTAGCCTTCTGCTGACAAATCCAACCTATACTGCCGCATGCAAGATCCATCTGCTCCAAGTCAGAGGTGTCAGCATTTCAGATAACAACACTTAAATTTTACCCTTCAATAATTCAGCAAACTGC